TTGAAGTATGGAGCAATGAGACCTTTTGCCTGCAACCTGAGAATTCAAATGGTTGAGAAAATGGTATATGGCTATACACACACACACACACACACACACACACACACACACACACACACACACATGAGAGAGAGAGAGAGAGAGAGGCAAAGAGACAGAGAGAGAAGGGGGAGAGATAACTGTTAAATGGGAGTCTGGGTGAAGGGGACACAGGAACTTTATATACAATTCTTGTATCTCTTCTGTAAGTTGGGATTAAATAATAAAAAACAAACATAACTAGTTACAGAGAGAATCTAGGCTTAACAAAGCTGGCAAGGGATCAGGGAGCTCTGTTCTAGCAGAAGTTATTACAGAGAGCTCAGGAATGGGCAGAAATGGAGTCACCAATATGTTCCTCACCAAGAATACCAAAGAATGGAGAGAAGACAGTGCCTATGGAAGAATCTTTCCTTCAGAATCACTTGAGGGAGATTACTACATTACTTCCACTCCCTTGGGTGGAAGATACACTATTTTCCTCCTTACATAAAAGTGGAGAAAGCCACATAAAGCACATAAGGACAGCTTAACTCAACCTATTAAGGAGGTGGCTACGGGGATCCTAGTTCTTGCTCCTCCCTGGGCACCAGCTTTTTACTGCTGCTTGGCCTTTGGCTGAGGAAGCGGCTGTCAGAACGTTCCCTGGACAAGTGGGAGGCTGGGACATGAGAGGGTGGACCCCATGCCAGGCCCCACAGGAAGCTGGTAATGCCGATAAGGCCACCCACCCACACAGGAGTCCTGAACAAGGTCAGGGAGGGCAAGACAAGCACAGTTCCTGAGTACCACTCACTGTCACCTAGGGCCACTATGTCATCTGGTTTCACTCTCACTACAAATCCAGTGAGGAAGACATTATTAACTTCTTCATAGCGATGACAAAACAGTGTGAAAAAAGTTAAGTAGCCTGCTTGGGGTCCCAACCTAATAAGTGCAGAGCTTTGATTCAAGTCTGGCACCTGGGCCCCTGCTCTTCCCACTAGGCTGGGCTGCTCTCTGTCATCTGAGAACTTTTCAACAATCTAAGATCTTTCTCCTTTGCAGATTTTTGAGTTAGTGCTACAGAGAGTAGTAAATGCACAAAAATCAGCCACCACCAGAGTTCCATCTCTAGCCTCAGAATTCTTTGATTGAAGGAAGGAAGGGCTTCCAAAAGCCCCTTGAAATGATACTCAAAATTAGTATGTGTGTACACTTGGAATTTTTTTTTTACCAGTGTCTAATCATTTTGTCTGACTCTCTCCTTTGATAAAAGAGGAAGTTTAACTCCATCTTCTATTCCAAACTTCTACAGCTTTTTCTAGAGCCACAATAGAACTATCCAGGCCTCCTTCTTTGAAGAGCTTCCATTGCTTCCCTAATGCTTGGAAACATACTAGTGAGGCAAAATGCAGGACAAGCGGCATTGTCCATAAAAAAGTGGAGAGGCCCTGAGGAAGGGAGGCTGGCTCTTTGCCCAGATAATGAGTAGACTTTATGTGAATCAAAGCCACACGAAGAGTAGATATCAGAACTACTATTATAATTCAGAAAAGCGACTTCTTTTCCTCTGTTGCAGTACTGGGGATCAAACTCAGGACCTTGTGCTTGCAAGGCAGGCGCGGTGCCACTGAGCTAAATCCCCAGCCCAGAAAAGTGACTCTAGACCAGGTTGGTTTTGGGAAAGGATGTGGTTATCTGAGGTATGTATACTTTATACCCTGAACCCAGTAGCTTGAAAGTAGCTTTGAAATAAGAATTTTTATTAGAATTTGGGGTGATAAGGAAAGATGGGGCTCTGGCTAGGGATGCTCAGAGATGTGTTAGTCTAATAGGCAAATAATTCTTTTTCCTCTGTCCCTCAGGGGTTGTCTTATGAATTTCCTATGGGAAACTTTTGTTTTTGAGATGGAGTCTTACTGTGTTGCCCAGGCTGGTCTTGAACTGAAGGCTGAAGTGCTCCTCTCACCTCAACCTCCTGAGTTTCTGGGACTATAGGCATACACCACTGTGCACAGTTTGGGAGGAAACTTTGAGTACAGGAGACAGGGTGCTCCCACAGGACAAAACTGCCTCTCTGTGTGCCTGCTGGACACATGCCCAGTAGATAGAGAGGAGGAGGGAAACCAAGGCTTCACAAGGCAAATAATGGCAAGTCAATTTTTTTGGCTTAGGGGAAGGGTTTATTTTTGTTAAGACAGAAAGTCTTTCACAAGGTTTAGTTTCTGGGATTTTAATGTGAAATATTTTGTAATCAAGGAGTAAGTAAGAGGGTAGAAGAGAAGTGGGGCTTTGGCTATAACCATAAAATCAAATAGATGAAACCAATACAATGGTACCTTTGTTCATAAACATTTGCTTTTCTTTGCAAACAATTTGGTTTGCAAACAGAAGCATTTGGCAAAATTTTGTTTTGTTTACAAACTCTGCATAGATGAAAAATATGATTGAGACCATCCATCCCACACAAACACAAATATGTCCATCTTTTCCAAAAATAGAACAAATTAAGTTTGTGAACCGAGGTAGCATTTACTGTCTCATGTAGTGACTCTACCTGAAATATTCTCTTAATCTTATGGCTTACCCCTGAAATATTTTAAAACAAGAATTTGATAACCCATGATAGAAGCATAAACAAAGGGGTGTGGGGAGGCTGGGCAAAGTAGGGCCTAAATGTGTCAGTCCTGACTTAAGTCAGTCCTTCACAAACAAATGGGACAAAGCAAACGGCTGCCTTTAGCAAAAAACAGTAGCTTCTCAGTAAACAGGGCAAACAGACTCAAAAGAAAGTATACAACCCACCTGGCACCGAGAAGTCCAGTGATTATGTAACACTTGAGCATCCTTGAGTCACAACTATTTCACCCTAGATTCCTTAGCTCCTCCAAAACCCATATAAGCCTAATTCCTTTCCCAGTTAGTTGCTAATATCTCTCTCCTAGTATGAGCCCATCCACTCATGGATGAAATCTCTCCCAGACAGCTGCCACTATCTCTCTCCCAATGTCAGCCCATCCACACATGGATGTGATAAACGCAGCTTTTTCCAGCTAGCTACTAGAATCTCCTGATTTTAGCTTCTGTCAACTGGAATAAACATTCCTTTCAAAAGCCTAATTTTGACAAGTGGATTCTTTATGACAAAATGTTTTTCCAGAGAACTCTCCTCAAGAGCTTTCTCAACAGCCACTGGTATTCTCCTGTGTGAGCCACTCTCTCCCCTCCTAAGAGTGTCTGTGGTAGCCCAGGTCCAGCCTTTCTCTGGGTAGCCTGTCCTGCTCCAGAAACCCAACTTTTCCAAAACCTGCCTTTCCAGTATGGAAGGGCTCTCAACAGTACTTTGGCTGTGGCAATCAGAGATGAGGTGGGGGTCTTCTTCCTTAGCTAATATCCCCCACATAAATAATGGGCCCTGGAACATGAAACCCTCCTCTGGCTAGGAAGGAAACAGACTGCGATGGCCTGATCTGTAAAGATTTTGGGGGCCTGTGAGTTTGTGAAAAGTATGTACATTAAATGGGTGACCCATAAACTAAAATAAGAATTCATGAGCCCATACTGATATAAACAAACTAATGAGAAAGAAAAGAAATCTCTTCCTTACAATAGAACTCTAACAGTAAAAGTGGAGGAAACAATGGAAGCATTAGGCAAACAAGAGAGGATCTATTGCTCAGGCAATTATCATCAAAGGATGATAAAATGAGTGGGCAAGTGTGGGATGAAAAACACAATATTTACATAGTTTCAAAGTATTTTCCACAAGACACTCAGTAATTACAAAGAGAAAAGTGCTAACTCCACAGTGGAGAAAGCTGGCAGGAACCATAAGTGATCCAAGGTAATAGTCAATAAGGACACAAATCACCATGATGTGCTACTTGAGCCGGTGTACTAAGAAGGATGAAACATCAGGTCTATGGTTTTCTTGCCAAAGAAGCATAACTTGGATTTAGTCAAGAAGAAACTAGGCTACTCAGGAGGCTGAGGCATGATGTTCATGTGAGCCTAGGAGTCAAGACCAGCCTGGGGAACACAGTGAGACCTCCAAAAGTGGGTGGGGCCTGGGGATTTAGCTGAGTGGTTCCACTGCCTGCCTTGCAAGCAGAGGGTCCTAAATTCAATCCCTGGTACAAACAAAAAAAAAAAAGAGAGAGAGTGAGACCTCAGGAAAACTGAAATTGAGGGTACTGTATAAAATAGCTAGTTAAAGCTGGGCACGGTGGCATACTCCTGTAATCCCAGCACTCAGGAGGCTGAGGCAGGAGGATCACTGAGTTCAAGACTAGCCTGGGTTACATAATGAGTTCCAGGTCAGTCTCAACTACATAGACTCTGTCTCAAAAAAAAAAAAAAAAAAAAAAAAAAAAAAAAGCTAGTCAATATTCTTAAAAGCATCAAAGTCATAACAAACAAACAAAAGATAAAGGATTAATTCAAGATTAAAGGACACTAAGAGACCTGACAGATAAAAGCAAGATTATTAAATTTTGGACCAGAAAAAGGATATTAATAAAACAATGCTACCTTCTTGATATTGATGATTGTGATTATATATGATATTAACATTCTTTGGGCAAGGTTATATTGAGAATTTTTTGTCCTATTTTTTGAACTTTTTTGACAGTAAAAATTACTTCAAAAGAAAAAGTAAAATTATACATGAAAATATATACTTTAGAGATTAGGCTTTCTTAAAATGCCCAGTGCCTGACATGGTACAGTTTTGCAGGCTGACATATGGTATGTCAGGGCTCAGTAAGGGCTCAGCACCCACATACAAATGGGGAGTTAGGATCTACTGTGGGGTCAATCTTGGGCTTCTAAGATTTAGAGGCTAAATGATAACACATGAATTTCCAGGGAGGGTCATGGGTATATCAAGTTCCTCCTTCAGCTTCTGAAAGGAGCCAGACCCAACCTGATGAGAGGGGCTAGAAACCCAGGAAGCAAACAGTAAAATATCTGTCACTTACTTGTCTTGGGACTCAATATACACATAGAGATGAGGCTCAAAACACTTGGAAACAATGCCATGAAATGGATTATCTGGAGCTTTAGGTTTCTTCGGCTGAAAGAAAAGAGAGAAGAAAAACGAAACCCTGCATTTGAGCAATCTCTGCAAATTCTTAAGCAATTTCAAAAAACATTATCACTTCAAAGTTCACTCATAGCTCTTAGATAAGAGAGCACTCAATATAATGAAAGTGGGAATAAGTCCTGCATTATGATCGATCCAGTCTGTGAATAAGACACTGGCTTTGTCAGCATCATTTACTTGCTGTATGATTAAAGATTTACTGCTACTTTGACAACACATGCATTTTTCAATCTGGAAGCTATTCATCACCTGACTGATGTTTTAAAAATTTAAATAAATGACCATTTTAGGAAACACACACTGAAATGTTTAGGGGGAAAGGAAATTATGTCTACAACACTTCCAAATTGCTCCATAAGTAAGGGGAGGGAGAAAAGATGAGGAAATAATAAGGTAAATGTAGCAAAATGTCAACAATTGCTGAATCCAGGTGAAAAATATTTAGAAGTTCCTTATAAATAGTCTTCGAATTTTTCTCTAACTAAAAGAAAGAAAATCAAAACAAAGTTGGGCGTAGTGGTGCACACCTGTAATCCCAGCACTTGGGAGGCTGAGGCAGGAGGATCACTGCCAAATTTGAAGCCAGCCTGGGTTACATAGTTCAAGGACAGCTTGAACTACATAGCGAGACCCTGTCTCAACAAAACAAACCAAAACAAAAAAAATAAACACAACAACAAAAAAAAAACCCCAAAAAACAAAAAACAAACCAAAGAAAACCTAAAAACCAAACCGAACCAAACCAACAACAACAAACATTGGGGGAATAGTGCCCAGAGTCTGGCAGAGAAGTCAAAGTGACAGCAGTAGCATTCTTTTTTTTGGTATTGGGGATTGAACGTGGGACCTTGTGCTTTCAAGGCAGGCAGCAGAACCACTGAGCTAAATCCCCAGACCCATCATAAGAAATGCCTGCCACCAACATTCCACAGTGCAGAGAATGACACTGGGGAAAACAAAGTTTCTAGGCCTGAGAATCAGAGAGCATTATCAGACAATGCTGTCACCAATGGGGGAAGCTGGGAGATACGTACACAGCATCTCTATGTACTATGTTAATAACTTATAAGTTTATAAGTATTTCAACATATAAAGTTAGTTTTCCAGTGTTTTGTTTTGTTTTGAGACAAGGTCTTACTATGTTGCCCAGGCAAGCCTCAAACTCCTCATGCCTCAGCAATCCTCCTGCCTCAGTCTCCCATAACACATTTGGGGTGTATAAAATGCAGACCCAAAGTGATAAAAGAAAATGGCTTCATGATACTCCAACAAGCTCAGCTTGACCAGTCTTCTTCATGAGGCCTTGATGAGGAAGACTCAGAAAGAGCTTCATCAGACGGGGCTGCTGTCTCTACCCCACCCACAGTGACTGCTCTGTGCTGCCTATTCATGGAGCACACAGGTCTTCTTGTGGCATTTCCAGTGTGAGCTGACACATGAGAGGAATGATGACAGGGACTGCCTAAGTTTCACTTTCTTACTTTTCTCCTGAGAGGGCAGCCTTCTGCCTATAGCTGCTTCGTGAATGTGCTTGTGTTGAGATAATAGATGCTGGAATTCCTGCTCAAATTGGTGTCTCCCTTTGCACTCTGCAGCTCCCCAAAGGGATGATTCTCAGTTTAAAGAATATACTAAGTAATTTAGCAGTAGCATTCATACTAGATTTCTGAGTATGTGAATTTTGTCCAAAAGCTGCAGACGTTTAAGCTATTTCCTCCTGGAGTTTGATGGAATAATAAAAGGTTACTGTTGTCACAGTAAGGAGGTCTGCAGCTGGTCCCACTTCCTTTCATTACTATCCAATGTAAACAGATTAAATCTAACTGCTCAGATCATCAGAAAGGTACATTTTTAAACAAAAAATTCCTGATTTCTTCTCCCTCTTTCAGTACCCTCAATCCCCATTGAGATGTCATTTTTTTTTAATCCCTGGGAATATCTTGGCAATTAATTCTTGGAGCCCTCTTATAAACTAAACACTACTTCTCATGTTCACTCTGCCTTTCCACAGCCAGGTGTAAACTGCAGTAGTGAACAGGGAGTGATCTTGACCTTGAGGGCCAACTGCCTACTGACTGCAGCAAGACAAGGGCCTGGGTAACCCAGGGCAACTGGTAGAGGCCTTCCCTCAACCACCTCTAGCTGGTTCCTGATAACATCCTGTGGAATCCCTCCCCAGCACCCCACAGGGCTCCTGTATGTCTGTGCACCCACCTCCACAAGCCAGAAATGCGCTGGGAAGGGGGAGACGCTGGGTCTCCCTCTAAACAGCCACAGGGAAGACACGTAGTGATGACAGTGGAAGGTGTGGGCTTACACTCAGGAGCATTAGTCACTGATGTGTATATTTAATGAGGAACAGCCCATGAATTACAGTGGTCATCTAGTACAAGGGTTTTTCATTTTGTTTCTTTTCTTTTCTTTTTTTTAGTATTGGGGATCGAACTTGGGTACTTGCGCTTGCAAGGCAGGTGGCAGAACCGCTGAGCTAAATCCCCAGCCCCTCTTCTTTTTCTTAAACAAACATAAAACTCTAGGTTGAAAAGAAATTTTAGTGGTTCTGCTGCCTGCCTCGCAAGCTCAAGGGCCCGAGTTCGATTCCTGGTACGCCCCCCCCCCAAAAAAAAAGAAAGAAAGAAAGAAAGAAATTTTACCTGGAAGTCCATAATCCAAAGTTCTGTATTGCTCTCACTGTGGGGACCTAGGTCTGTCTTTACTGACTACAGTGACACTGGACAGGGCACAGAGGAATATAGTTTGAGGACTATTAATTAGCCTTCTCTATAGATAAAGAAAGCAGGGAAGTCTGAGACTGGAGGTGACCTATGTAAGGTCACATAATCAACTAAAAGAAGACCAGAATCCAGCATTTTCTCCATCACGTGAGGCTGCTTTATCCTGTGTATTTGTCAAATGTCAATGTCCTATGTCTTTAAAATGGGCAGGTTCAGCCTTACAATAATTTCAAAATTTCATGAGTAAAAAGTTCCAAAGGAAAGAAAAACATTTTACCTATCAATACTGATTTCAAAGGTGGTGGGGACTCTCATATTCAGAGCAATAACATCACCAGCTATGGGGATAACTTCTCATGGCAGTGCTAGAAGCATCTGAATGTTCACTGCACAATTTTGTACATGACAATGGCAGCCACAGACACTGTAGGGACACAGGGGTCCTGAAAATACCACAGTTGCACAAAGCATGCTCCTAGGAGCAGGTAGCCCAGGGAGGGTATAGGACACAGAGGAATAAGACTCCAACTCCTTGATCCTATAGCATGAGAACTGCATCTCTTTCGACAGAAATCTTTTTTTCTCCTACGTTCTCCAATAATATGACATCTTTAAATCAGCTACATCTATTTCCATACATCTCTGGGATACTACCTCAAGACAGCCCTTCAGTTTGGTTCATTCACTTTTATTCATGAGCTTAATTTCTTTGCCCTCCACTTTTTAATATTAAAGATAAAAGCCTGGGAAAGGAATTCTGACTTCTGATTTCTAGACTTGGCTTCCAGTCTCAGCTCCTCCACTTTTAAACTATGTTAACTCTGAGCAAGCTGTTTGGTCTTTGAGCTACAGTTTCAATACCTATGAGACAGGCATTGCAAAGGTGATATGAAATTAAGCATGTAGAGGATTTTTTAATTGTTGCGGGGTGTAGTGGTGCACATCTGTAATCCCAGTACTTAAGAGGCTAAAGTGGGGGCCGAGGATTTAGCTCAGCGGTTCGGTGGCCTGCCTTGTAAGCACAAGGACCCAAGTTCAATTCAATCCCCGGTACCAAAAAAAAAAAAAAAAAAAAAAA